GAAGAAGAAAACTGGAACAAGAAATACATGTTATCTTCAAATTGTCCTGTATTCCTTACTACACCAATGTGCTGTACAGTTGTCAAATCAAACAGTTTGGGATGATCTTGGACCAGTATGAACTCCACACTCAGAAAATAAAATAAAGTCTAAAAATTAGCCAATATGTTAATAGAGTTTACATGACTTATGGCTGGGGCTTTTGCTACTGGCTCCTAAGTATAAATTCCATTTACATTTTACTCAGCTGTAAAAGAGGACTGTTAAAACGACAGTAAGCGATTCTGCACGCTAATAGATCCAATCCCCTGACACCAGCTATACCCTCCATTATTTTTACCAAAAAGAATGTAGGCAGACTTTGATCATGCAGAGATGGTTAAAACCTATAATTGGAGTAATTCATTCTCAGACAGATTCAGTCTTAGAGGGGGGAAAGAAGGCTGGTGTAGTAAGGGGTTAAGTGTTTATGGCAGGTTTTTATGATTGTCTAGATCAGTGGTTCCCAAAGTGGGGGTCCCGACCCCCCGGGGGGTCGCAAGATGATTTCTACACAAACAAACAAGATTTTTTTTTTTGAGCAAATATAAAGCCCTTAAATATTTATTTAGCATTTGATTTGATTCAAAAGGACTACTTGTTAAATTGTGTTTGGAGACTATAATATATTTTAATAACGTTAGTAATTTTGTCCCAGTCATTGCAGCGTCAATCAAAATCATCACGTAACACAGCTCACATGATGCGCAGCGACAAAGCGTGTCCTGCTGTTGTTTGCTAAAACTAAAGGTGTTTGGAGGCTACAAATAAATAATACCTTCTTTAAAATGAAACGTGGTTAATATCCACAACAGAAAACCCCGGAGGGAGAGAAAAGTCACTTGTATCAGGGGTCAGGCTGATGGTGCGAAGAGAGGGAGAGAGGGCAGAGGAGGGAGAGAGGGCAGCGGAGGGAGGGAGGACAGAGGAGGGAGAGAGGGCAGAGGAGGGAGAGAGGGCAGAGGAGGGAGAGAGGGAGAGAGGGCAGAGGAGGGAGAGAGGGCAGCGGAGGGAGAGAGGGCAGAGGAGGGAGAGAGGGCAGCGGAGGGAGAGAGGGCAGCGGAGGGAGAGAGGGCAGCGGAGGGAGAGAGGGCAGCGGAGGGAGAGAGGGCAGCGGAGGGAGGGAGGACAGAGGAGGGAGAGAGGGCAGAGGAGGGAGAGAGGGAGAGAGGGCAGAGGAGGGAGAGAGGGCAGAGGAGGGAGAGAGGGAGAGAGGGCAGCGGAGGGAGAGAGGGCAGAGGAGGGAGAGAGGGCAGCGGAGGGAGAGAGGGCAGCGGAGGGAGAGAGGGCAGCGGAGGGAGGGAGGACAGAGGAGGGAGAGAGGGCAGCGGAGGGAGGGAGGACAGCGGTAGAACAGCGCGTTAGAGGCCCGGCTTTTCGGAGTCAAAGGTAAAGAGGTCCGCACATTAAAAGCGGGTGGCCGGTTTATGCCTTTACTGACAGTAACTTTGGAAAGAGAAGCCGCGGGGATGAACCGCATAAAGTTACAGCAGAAAGCGGCCGCCCGCTTTTAATGTGCGGACCTCGTTACCGCTGACTCCGGAAAGCTGGCCCACTTTACCGCGGTAGGAGAACAGTGAGGGCGAGCCGCAAGAAATGCGCTCCACTTCTGCTGAGGAGGGAGCCCGCCAAGCCCATCACTGTGTCACTACATGAGTAAAAATATGCAAGCCTCCTTTTTTGGGCTGGACAGTGCAGCTCGGTAGTGGCGTGAGTCTCTAGAAAGCGTTACTCCGTATCAAGGAAATACATGCTCATTTCATGTGACGGAAGGGCTGTTGGGAACCCCTGGTCTAGATGACATGATGCCTTTTTGTGAAGAAAGTTTGATGCATCATGAACACAATAATATAAATGTAGACTCAAAACTGTGATAAGGTAGGAGCATCATATTCATCATATCCATACGTTTGATACATACGCATAATCTACATAAATATACATTACTTCCGCCCCTTGATGTCATACTTTACAACCAGGAAGTGAAAATCCAAATATAAAGATACGACCACAATAGATTCATGCCAAGAAAGCATAATATTATGCAAATTATTAACACATTTAGTATAATCTTGACTGTGTTTTGTGTAAAGTTGAACTTGTCATAAGCAATTTACTTAGAAACAGACAATTTGCAACTATAGACCAAACTTTCAAAGCTGATTTTAACAACTTATTCTTGTATAGCCCTAAATCACGACAGAAGTAATCTCAGAGGACTTAACAAAACCATTTACATCACCAACACAGATCAGAGAATCAACAGTTAAGACACAAAATATACACCAATGAATTGGCCCATGAATGTTGATAAATGTCCAGCATGTTAAAGTGTGTAATTTTAACACAAATACTAACATGTTTGTATAGGACTATAATAGCAGAAGAGTGTGGCTAATAAAACGCGAAATGGAGAATTGAAAAAGCTGCGTCATGGTCCTACCTCTGTGTGGATCCCAAATGCAGCAGTGAGCAGGACCAGCAGGACTGAGGCTGTGTAGAGGCGTTGGCATTGCGGAAGAACACATTCAGTCTATGGAAGGGGAAGAACGCAAGAACACACCCAGATCCTTGGAACACACCCACAAACCCACGCGGCTCTGTTTACTTAAGGACGCATCAGTGTCACGTGATACCATCCTGAATCAAATTATACCATGATAAATCCCTCTTCAACATATTTCGACATGAAATTAATCTATATAAACAATATACTAATCCTTCCGATCACCCAAAAGAAATAACTGCAGTAAAGTTAGTTTTATATTAGATATTCAACACATTCAAAACATCTATATTTAGCCCTTTATTTTGACCTTCTGATTTCAAAACGAGTTGGGTTTTTGCCTACTGGTCCTGAACACATGAAACAAAGCATCTTTTTTCAATATACCCTTCGTTGATTTGTTTATGATTTTCCATTCTTTTTTACCATCAAATTCAATCAAATCTACTTAGCCATTTACGCCTTTGACCTATTGATTTCAAAAAGCGTTGGGTTTATGCCTGCTGGTCGCGTAGAAAAAAATAAAAAATCAACAAAGGGTATGTTAGGATTAGATAGCGATTTGGCCTACGTGTAGGACTACACAAGGACTCTGATTATTTTGACAATGATGTGCACTGTCTTTGTGTGACACGTATGTCTTTCGATGTGTGACGTAACAATGACTATAAAACCATGTCTTGACTTTTGCTCTGTCTGAATCAACTGCCATTTTTGTGAATAAACAACCAAGCTGGATGCACGGGATCCCAGTATGTCTGAGTCTGATTTCTCACAGGTATATTGAAAAAAGATGTTTTGTTTCATGTGTGCGGGACCAGTAGGCAAACACCCAACGCGTTTTGAAATCAAAAGGTCAAAAGGCTAAATTGATTTTTTGAATGTGTTGAATGTGGCGAATATCCATTTTAAAACTATAACTTTACCGCAGCAAAGCAATAAACATGTTTTAGAAACACATTTTCCATTTAAATCCACCCTGTTTTCTTTTTTCTTTGTTGTTGTACTGTGTTAATTGTAGAAATGTTTTTTTTTTAAAGTACACGGACCCTTATGACACGTGTTCGTCCCCGATTTAAGGAATATATTTTAATCTGGACTTTGAAACAACAAAACATGATCAATTTAATAAAATCTATGTAAGTATTTTCTCGCTCCCAAAAGTTTGGTTCTAGGTCCGTGTACTATCAGCTGGTAAGTGTTTATATAGCTCTCCATTTACTGTTAACCACTGACTCAGGAGCTGTGAGTCAGTCAATGTACCTTGATCTACATCCACAAAATAAATCCAACACATATTTGTATGTTATTCACAAAATAAATTGTAAGAGGGCACATAGAGCATAACATTACATTACAGCCCCCCAGGAGCTGTTGATTGGTAATGGGGGGAAGCCTGGCTCACGGTGCATTCACTTACACCAACAATATAATATGAATTAGTATTTACCACCACCTCCTGTGGACTCACTGGCTGCACGAGGATCATATAGCATTCACTCTTGCTATTATTATTTTTTCAGTATAATGCTGTTTTTTAAGGTTTAGTTTAGTTTACAATATGTCTGTTTTTTGAATAATGCACTCATTAACCCACCTTCACATTAATCTACATCTACTGTATCTATTTCATGCTTCTTATCAATTTTGGTTTCAAATGATATAGACGTACACATTCAAGAGGTTACTTTTATCATCCAGATTTCATAACAACATACATTTGATGAGTAAAAAAAACAAAACAAAATTTGGAACAGCCAATTAATTCCTCCATGCAGTTTGTAATCAGACATACTACAAACACAATGCTTTGTCGTATTCATACTTTATATACTTTATTATTTGAAACCTTTATTTTCTTGTGATGCAGAAACAACATTTGCACCCTAACCAACATCCTTGTAGACTGTTAAACCAGCTTTACTTAACTTAAAAGTAGAAAAATACATCAATAAAAGGCAAAACAAAATACTGCATGACACTGAGTCTTAGTATCAACTATTTTTAACAGACAGCACAGGTAAAGTGAACAGACAAAATCAATCCTTTAACCAAATTCTTCTTATGCAGAAGTTTTAGTTATAAAGCGCTATTGTCTATACAACCCTCAAACAATCCACATCCTATTCGCTTCTTGGCTTTTTTTTACAATATAATCGGTCTTGAAAACATTCATATATAATCAGCAACACAGAAAAGAAAGCCCGTTTCCAAAATACACTCAACTTGTATGTGTTAATCAGTATTCTTGCTATTTAATGTTGAAATCAAACAAGTACTCATGCCAACAGTCGGCCGATTTGAAAAATAGTGCCAAGTTTTGTAGATCTTTTCTTTTTTTTCGAAAATAATAAGCTACTGCCACCATTTTACAATCTTCAAGAATCTGCTTTGAGGACAGGAGGCAGGCAGGCGCATGGAAGGAGAAAAACTGCGTATAGTGACGAAGTGAGGTTTAGTCAATGTCCATTTCGGGAAGTTTGTTTTCTGGCGACCCGTGTGCTTTGCCTGTGGGTTTCTCGCCGGCGGTTTGGGACTCGTCGTGTCCATTGACAGGTCCGTTTGTTGTCGCGTTCTCATCTTTCGGCAATTCCACTTTGGGTTTTGGTTTGGAGAGGACAGAGTTGCAAGATGAGTGGAGTTCCTGTGAAGATAGAGGAGCATTGTGAGGAAAAATTGTGTACTCAAAGAACACATGAAAGGCTTTACAGCTCATTTTTTCTGCCCTGGGGTGGACTGACAGAAATAGATCACAATAAGAATCGTTCCTCTATCTGTGAATCTTCGTAAAGCTGGGGTACCTAACTTGAAAACTGTTTGTGAACCATTGCTCTCAACCCAGTTTGGTTCTATCACTAGTTTTACTACATGCATGTATATTGGCCTCTGTCACATCCTGAGATCAGAAGGCTCGTTCTTGTGTTGTAACTATGTATATGAATAACAGTGTATGTATTTATGAAGATGTATAGACATGTCATGTTCACAATGCACATGATGAAATGGTTTTAAAAATGTAATATCACTTGAAGAAGTCATGATTTCTGCCGATTCAATCACATGCACTGAACACAATATAATCTCTGTATCACTATACATAATGCCAAGAGGTCAGAGTAAATTGGCCGAGAGTACGCACTAGAAATACAAATACTGTAGGTGAGGAAAGTTTTTAAAATCTCACCTTAGTTTTACTGCGGATCTCCGAGACTCTGACCACAGGATCCATGGTCAGGTCTTGATTGTTCTGTTGGTTCATTTTGCCGTTCAGCCAAACCATGGAGTCGTTTACTTGTTTTTCCACACGGGTCACCTCCAGCTCGTCCAGGTGGTTGTACTGCTCATCCTGAAGTAAAAAAAGTTATTACATTTTATAGTTATAGAATTGTTTGTAGTCTGCTTAAAACTAGAAGGATAATCGATTGTAGAAATCAAAAGGAGAGACAAAAAGTGCATTGCTAACCAGAATAGGAATCTTTTGTTATTGATATTTTAAGAAACGGGAAGCTATCAACTAGGAATAAGCTTTCTTTTGCTTTTTTGCTTTCTTGATCAAATTCTAATATAAAAACACATAAGACACATATAACAATCCAAATTATCAATAAGTATTCAGAGGTATGAGGAGTCGATAAGTGCAATGCAAACGGTGCTATTTTTGAACTGGTCTTTAAAAGTTGTCAAAAGATTTTAAACTCATTCCAGTGAAAAGTCTGGCTTTGAAATGTGTCAGAAGGTTTAATTACTCATCAATTTAGGTTAAAGTACTCAATTTGTTGGGTTATGACAGTACAAATTGAATACTGTCTCTTTCATGTTTAGTTAACCACAAAGAGCACAAAGATTAAAATATATTTAGCACCATTAACTTCCATCAGCAAGTAAATTATTTGTGAAAAGTCCATAATATGTATTGTATTTTAATAACTATGTTAAATGCAATTACAAAATAAAAGCAAAATTGCAAAAAGACAGGAGAAAAATAAATGAATGTGTAAAAGACATAAAAATAAACACATAAATGACGATGGTAAAGACATAAATACAAAGTGGTACCTTTGCTTTGTAAGATTCAATGATCTTCATGTACTGCTGGATCTGTCGGCCGAGCTCTTCAAAAGCTCTGGGCCTCTCCTCCGCCTCCACGTACCTGTCGCAGATTGGCTGGCCCAGATTCTGTCAAAATCATTAGTTTAGTCCACAAGAACTGATTCAAGGATTATTCATTAGCTATATCATCGAATACCTTGAGTTCGGCCAGTTTGTCAAAGTAAACTTGTTTCTGCTGGTCCTCTCCCTCTTCATAAAGCCAGTTCTCTGTGTCTTCCAGTTTTAATGAGATCAAGTCGCGATCCTAAAAATAAAAATAAATCATATAATATTTACATGTTACGTTCAAATAAAAGTCAAGTGGTTATTTTAAAAAACGGCATACAACAAGAAGCCCAAACACTTGAGGTTAACTGTAAGCAGCGTAGGTAAAATGTACAAAAGGTCTTGTAAACTAAGGAATGTAAATATTGTAAATACTTGTAAATAACTTCTGCTGGAATGAATAAAATCAATCAAAACACAATGCGTGATACATTGCCAATTGCATGAATCAATTCTCTCCACTCACGGCTTCAGTGACGTATTTCTCCAGGACCCCGTGAAGCTTGTCCCTCATCTCGTAAACGTATTCTTCTACGTTGTTCTTTGCGTCGTTTCTCTCCTTTTCCAGTTTGTCCTGCATGATCATTTTTCCCTGGAAACGTCACAACCAAACAAACAGATCAACAACAAAAAACACAATGACAAATACTTTGACTTTGTGTACATCTTTATGTTTGCTGCTTGGACGATCGCTTCCCAAACACAGTCAGCTGCACATTCCCGGTGATTTTTAGAGCATTACCTCATTCTCCACAAACACGTTGAGGACGTCTGTGGACAGCTGCCAGTGGAGGGAGTTTTCCACAGGGAGCTCCACGGTTTTTGTTTTGACTTTGGCCTTTTTGGGCTGAGGTGCGTCGTTTTTCTTCTCCTCCTTTGAGTCTTCTGGCGACGTCTGAAAACAAAAAGATTTTGAATTTTTTGTCATTTTTACATAAACGTGTGTTACCAGCAGATGGCGCCAAACACATGCAGCTGAAGTAAAAGAGCATAGTAGTGATTGAAGAAATGGAAAAAAGGTTTTTTTTTTTATTAAATAAGCAAAGATTAGACCAAAAGAGAGTGGTCAAAACAACAGGGCAGCACTGGTGACTTTTGCTAATATATTCCAATGTGGTTTTTTTACTGCAAATGGCAAATAAACTGAATCTGTCTTAACCCTTTAGGCGCCAGAGTTTTTTCAAGAAAATATACAATTTTGATTTCAAGATTTCAAAAGGCTATAACTTTAAAATGGTTTGAGATAAAGGCATACTGTAAATTAGAAATATCTTCAGTTTGAACCAAACTTTGGGATGGAAGTTGATTCGTCATCTAATTTGCATATTGTGACGTCATCAAGGTGGCGGCCATTTTGGAAAATGTTAATTATTGTATAAAGACTTCAAAAAGCTGTAGCTTGGGAGTTATTTGAGATCAGGGAATACTATAAACAGTCAATGTGAAATATTTTTAGTATGAAATGAATTTGGGATAGAAATAAATTCCCTGATCCAGATAATAGATAATGTTTTAGCACTGGTTCGCAGATATATGGAATTGTATTATTTTCAAAGACCTCACATATTTTGGAGGTCCCTCACTGAAACGGTTAACACCAGTGTTTAATCTTAGTCTATGATAATTAATAACAATTCATCATACTAATATAGTGCACCCAAAGAGGCTCATGGCTGTCTGATTGCATTTGGGCTTATCCAGCCCGACCAGAGTCATTCCTGCAGTCCTGAGCCCAGCCCCACACGAGGCCTGCAGGGTCTAAAATGTGAGCTTTTATTGGCAGAACATCTCTGTCTGATGGAGATTTGTGTGTTCACTTGAGGCCCTGTTTATACTGAGACGCTGCGCAGACGTTTCCAGGCTATTAACAGAAACGACCTGGCTCCTAATGCAAATTTCTCAGCGTTCACATGAGGTTGAAAAACGATGTAGTTCTAGCGCCCGGCCAGTAGGGGGCAGATAAACTTTACAACACGACACACGACCCCGAGCCCCGTGCCCAGCCCCCCCCTCGGCAGTGTACTCACTTCCTGTGCCAGACCCTCAGGACGTACCAACATCATTCTGCATTTTAACAGCAGCTGTGAAAATGGGAACTGAACCTAGAGCTTCGCGTGGTCTCGTTTGGACGAACGAAGGAGTAGAATTATCCTCTGTCCCGCGCTGGAAGCCCACGTAGCTAGTTTGTGTGGGTAGCGCCATTGTTGTTGATGGTTGTTCTCCGCTACTGCGCATGTCCAAATTTACGTGCGGGGAGCAGCGCGGAGGCGGGGGTCAGAGCAGAGGGGGATTTCACACCTTTTCTCCCTCTCGCGGGTGTGAAAGAGCTCCCTGCTGTGCAGCGTATCTGAGTTGTCCCACTCTGCAGGCTGGATCTGAACACTTACGTTTTCACCCCCCTGGAACACAGTCTTCGTATGAACGGTTGGTAGCAACCGACATCCAACTGTACCGTTTTACTGCCACATTGTCTCCGTGTAAACTCAGCCTGAGTGTTCTACCTGCAGACAGTCTAAGAATCTGACTCAATTTACAGCAATTACATGCAATTATGGGGTTAGGGTTCAAGCTTCCTTTTTAAAAACAATACATTATTATTTTGAGTGTAAAGTTAATAATATATGTGGTTTGGGGTGGGAATGTAAAACTAATTTGGGAATTATCCGATCATATAACCACTTTATTGCTCAAATATATCTCACCATTAAAACTTCTAAGAAATCTTTTCACCACAATGCCTTTGTCAGATCATATTCTTTGTGGCCAGTACCTTGAGATCATTTTCCAGCATAACACATCACCCTCTAGTGATGTTAGTCGAGTAAGGCACAGGGCATGGTTTAAAGAGGCAAACCAGAGTTTTGTTATTGACCATTTCTATATTTATGTAATAACTGCACATAAACTGCTGCAGAGTTCCCTCTCAGTTAATGTGAGGCGAGGCAGACAGAGTTTGAGGCTTACTGCTGCTGCTAAATCCTAGAGGGACTTAAACACGGACTAGAGGCTCTGCAGAGACTAAAAACTCAACAACAAAAAATGAAAGAGCTTAGACACAAGAATGGAAGTCAAACCGCTATAACATCAGTTGCCTGAATCATGAAAATGCACACATTATATAATACATGATTCATTAAACTTTCTAATAATTTTAGGCATACATGTTTTGATCTAAAATAGCTTGATAAATGTGCACAACGATGACATTGAAATTTCCCACAGAGGGACGAATAAAGGTTTCTTATCTCACATAAATTAAAAAGGTATTAAGGGAGATGTTTGTCCCAATTAAAGATGTGCTGCATAGTTGTGTACGACAATATTTGGCCTATTTCACTGTCAATCAATTAGCTCAGCACCAATCACGAGTCGCCTTTTGCAGCGTGTAATGCAGGTTATTTGCGATTTGAGGGAAATTAAAAAGCAGCAAAGATAAAAAAAAAAGCTATTCTGGAGGTAGCAGCGAAAAGGTGAAAGACAAAGGACCAAAATATACTAGAGCGGTCATGTGGGCATATACATTCTGGCAAAATAGTCATAAATACCTTCAAGTAACTTTTTTGATCACTATCATTGCATAATCAGCTGTGTAAACCCAGAGACTGATGATGAATGTTAGTCACTGATTAGTGGTGCCGTAACATTTGAAGTAGAGGTTGATTGATTATGGGTTTTCTGTGTTTGTGCTGATTTTCCCAAACTGTTAAAATATATGTCAGGCAGATTAGCTTCAGGAGTTGGTGATAATGCTAATGTGCTGGTTAGCAATTAGGACATTAGGAAGGGAGGGAGAGTTACATGGAAGCAAGTCATCTCTTTTCGTTGTGGTAAATAATGAAATGTGAAAGACCTCCATCTCCTCAGCCTCAGATTTCTTCTCTCCCGAATCTGCCGACAGTTTCTGCTCCTCCGGGTCGACGTGCATCTTACTCTGACACACAGAGGACAGGGCATTAAAGAGAACATTTGTGTTTGTGTGCACAAGAGAGTTCAGAGTCCAGAGCTGTCAATGAGCTGCTGAGTTGTATTAAAACCTTTTCTGCTACATGCCAGCACCATCTTGTCCATGTATAATTACAAAAGACATTTTGAAAACGCCAAAATGAGCATTCTTTTGCAGCTTGTACAACAGCATAGAGTGCACTCCCAAGGATGAAAGGAGAATACATCCACCCTTTCTAAAGCTGTCTTAGGCCTGTTTGAACAATATAACTGAATACCACAGAGCTGACAGCCTGACGAGGAAAATGCAAGGTGTGTCCTGGTGAGAAGATACAGAGTGGGAGATTTTCTAATGATTTTGTTTCCATTTTATGTTTATGATTTACAAAATGAATATGTTTGTTATACTAGTAATTGTTATAATAATAATAATTACCGGTAGTCATTGTTATTATACTTATATAATTACAATTTTGAGCTTGGATACCAGATGTCAAACTGTAAAACATGCGTAATTATTATGGCTTTTTCCACAGATTTTCCTCCAGAAAAGTTAAATAGGAGAACAACCCTTGGTCAAAGCATACTGTATCTTTTCAATAGTTAAAAGTATTTATGATTATATGAAGAGACAGTGTAGTGTAATAGTCTGAATGATTAATAAAATTCCTTTACTGGTGAATTCAGAAAAGTGAATGCAGTTCCTTTAGTGATAGAAGAAAAGGTACGTCAGGTGACAATTATGAATATTCAAGAGCATATAGTACCTCTTCATCCTTCGTCTGTTCGGTCTCCATCGGCTCCTCTCCCTCTGTGGATTTGATCACTTCCACCAAAGTGGCGCCGGCCACGCTGAAGATTCCGTGGATGTTCACTCTGACTTTCACTTTGACTTTAGAACATTCCCCCGACTGCTGCGGGCTCACGTTTTTGATCTGGAACTGGCCTGTGTGTAAATATAAGTTATAAGTTGGTAACAAATACATACAATTTAAAAACATATACACATAATTACTTAACAACATACAAAATTATAGACTTGACTGTATATTTATGAACTCTTCTGATGAGTTGGAAAAGTGAGTAATTCATAGCTAATATAAATATTATAAAAATATTGTAAGTCAGTTATTACATCATGAACGCAATATGAACTTATTCAACAAAATGTGGTGAAAGTACGCACAATTATTTCCTTGATCAAACCGTATCTTTTTTAGCAAAACAAGAAACTTACCAATTGGCAACTTGCTTATTTTTTTTAATTGAAAGGCGGAAGAAAATTAGAATTCGCTTTCACTCTCTAATGTCTTGCACAAATAACCAACTCAAGATTATAGGACACTTGTAATACATGAACATTTTAAAGTATATGCACATAGGTATGATGTGATTTACCGATGGTGGCTGTAGGGTAGGGCAGTTCTTTGGGGTTATTGTAGTACCCTTCCAGAGTGAACGGTTCTTTTCTGTAGAATGTGAGGACTTTGGAAAACGGAGCAGCGTGGTTCTTGGGGAAAACCTCGCAATCACTGGAACAGAAGACGAACATATCATTAATTCTGATAAACTTACAAACAAGGTGTAAAATATCAAACGTCTTGAATATAAGCTAAATACGTTTCTTAAATTTATCATTTATGATTTTAATGCATAACGACAGTAGCTCAGTTGGTAGAGCATTGGCCTTAAGGCCAGAAGGTCGTGGGTTCAATTCCCACCTCTACACCTTCTCCACCTACTCCCACTGATGACTGCTGTTGTTGTGTCCTTGGGCAAGACACTTAACCCCACTTTGCCCAAAGCCCCCGCTGGAAGATCTCAGCTCTTGTGGACTCACCACCCGCAGAGGATCAGTGAGGGGCTGGTGCTATGAGATTTGGGTGGCATCTCTGATTGCCACCCCCCTGACCCAGAAATGGATTAAAGGGTAGAAAATGGATGGATGGATGGATTTTAATGCAATCTTTTTTTGTTCAGCACTTTGAGTTGCCTTGTGTATGAAATTGTGCTATACAAATAAACTTGCCTTGCCTTTCCTTGCCTCCGACCACCACCAATAATGAAATCAATATTAAGTAAATTCAAATGAATCAAAATTATTCAATTAAATTAATCAAACGCATTGTGTTGCAAATGGCCAAGAATGACGTGGATCTACAAAGTGTTTGCTCAAGCCTAACAGATAATATAGGTTTTCCGTTTTTGTTTTTTTCATCTTTACAATACCTCGGCCCCTCCTCTGCTGCTGAATGCCACTGCAGCGAGATTGGATATGGAACCACGTCTGTGATGGAAAACTCTCTGACTTTGAACGCTGGTGACAAGATGGCGCACTGAAAAGCAAGTTGAAGCGTTACGGAATGCCACCGTTTTATAATATACTTTGAATCATTTGCGGATTCACCTGCAGAGCACAGCCGCGGGCCACTGCCTCGTCTGAGTTCAAAGTGGTGCTGAGTTCTTTACCGAAAAATTTACTGACTCGCTCTTTGATGGCGGGAATCCTGGATGCTCCACCGACAATTTCCACGGCGTAAATGTCTTCTTTCTTCATCTCTGATGACACAAAGACACAATGGATGTCAGCAAAGAAATTTGATGCATTTCAAATGTCTTCAATTTTCAATAGCCAAAACATTTTGGCTATTAAAAAAGATCGTGAGACCAATTACTTTGTAATTTTGGATGGTGAAATAAAATCAAGCAACAAGACAGAATAAATGTTAGCAAAGAAATCTTGTATTATTTTAAGCTATCAGAAATGATTAATGAGTGAAATTAATTGGTAATATAAAGTTGAAAATAAATGGTGAAACAAGTGTGAAGGGTAAAATGTATTTTGCCTGTAAATCCCTATACTACCACTTGAGGGAGGAATCACCCTTCTTCCAACTCAGAATAACTGGCTGCATACAAAACCATAAGATTGTAAAGAACATAATGTAATCTTACCTGAGAGTTTGACTAAACTGATGTTTAAATAAACAATATGGTTTTAAAAGGCAGAAAACTGCTCTGAGCGTGATGTCATAGTGGTACAATGACATCAAACTATTACAGAACTGAGACGGGAGCTTTTAGACAGAGGAGGCTGAGCTACATGTTCACAAAATTTGCTGCCTTGGACCAATCTAAAAACAACTCTAGGTCTGTTTTTGATAAGGATACAACATGGTTAAATGCTCCAACAAGTAAATTTTGCATACGTCTACTTTAAAATCTATCAACCACAACAATGTATTCACTGACACCATAATAAATATGGTGCATGTTTTGGGTGATGGGGGAAACCGGAGTTGTGGTGGGGGTACTCACTGGTTTGTTCCATGACACTACGAAGAGGAGCCTCCACTTTAGCCAGAAGCGCTGCACACATCTCCTCAAACTGACCCCTGGGAAAACACAGTCACGACATATTATTAGCACTTAAACACATGCACAAAGCTTTTTATAGACGGATCAAAATGGTCCTTACTAGCCCATCTTTATAAGTGTGAACAAACCAGACCACAACAATACTGTCTTCATGCTGTCATCTCATTAGAAAACATCTTATCTTCTACATATTTGTAAGACAGAGCCCAATGTGAGCCTATTGGACTGATTGGCAGAGAAAGGGTGATCCTCTCCTTTCCACTTTTCTGTATGACAAAGCTAATCTAAAGCTGATCTTTTTTCATAAATATGGTTGTGGTTTGAAAGTCTGATATCCCAGCTTTAATCTAAAATGTTATACTGTCAAATTGGCTAACTTCTTGACAGACCTTCTTTATACATTTGTGAAATGACTGGGAACCTGAAACAGAAAAATACATAAATATATATATAATAACATGTTTTTACTATCCCTTCAGGAGCTTGTGTGAATTGTATGCCGACTCGAACTAATTTACATGGTGCATTCATATTTAGTCCAATTGAAAAACAGACTGTACAAAGTATTATTAGAGCTGCAAGTGGATAACTTTAACCTATTGAACATATGTTAGACATATCCACCAGGTCAAAATAAGTGATAGGACCAAACTGGGAAAAAGTTACATTAATTTTAGTTAGATTTTTACCATTTTATTTACATTTAAATATGTTTTTAGTTTGAAAGTCAGGTATCCCAACATTATTCTAAAAATGCTACACTGTCTACAGTATTTCAGCTTATTCTTATAATGTTCATGAAAGATCAGAGACTGAGAGATAAATCTGGGGGTAGACACCACGTTCCAACATTGTTCAAACACCTGTTGAGTTTTCCGCTGACGTCGATGTCGTTCATGAAGCACTCGATGTTGAGGGGCAGGTCGGAGGAGTTGGCGCTCATCAGTTTCTTGAGTTTCTCGCACTCCTGGTACAGCCGCCCCAGCGCCCGCGGCTTCGACTTCACGTCCAGCTTGTATTTCTGCCTGAACTCTTCGCAAAAGTGCTTCACCAGAATGTCGTCGAAGTCTTTCCCGCCCAGATCAGGGTCAAACGCAGTGCCCAGGATCTAGAGTTTTGAAGATAGTGACAGCAGTTCAGTTACCTAGTAATGAATGTTCGTTTAACACCAGAAACCAAAAAGAAGAAGACATTCACAGAACAAATCTTTAAAAACAAGAATGAAGAATGAGGAGATTCTGAATATGACCTTGGCCAGATTCGACATGAGGCAGTACGTGAGGACAGGTCAACTCGGGTATGTTTTTGAGGAAACAGTGTGAAAAGAGAGAAAGAAAAAAACTGTTTTGCTTATACGTCTTTGAATTGATGCCTTTTCACTAAAGTCATTACTATGCATGACCAATGAGAACTCCCCTACAAGTGATTACACAATTTTCAGAAACACTAATGTAAGAACGTGTGTTAAACGAATAACCAATGCCCTCTTTGCTGTTGTTAAAGCTGGGAGCACTAACTTTCAAATACCCCACAAAAATGGAAACTAAAACAATGTAAAGAAAAATTTAATAAAAGGCAGTTTGGTTCAATAACTAGTTTTAATATTTTGTTGTGGTCTGATTTGCTCAAAAATGTTTTACTTCTACAAGACATGAAATATTCATGAATAAAAACAGTTAAGTCAAATGTGTGGAATCATGATCCAGGGTTAAACTTGAATACTTCAATAAAAACAAGGAAGACTGATACCTCCCCATTTTCTACAAATCTTTTATGCAATAACCAGTGTTGTGCGTGAACGAGTTCAAAAGAACGCGTTCATTGAACACGCTCATTTTTTTGTGAACGTTGAACTGAACGCAATACATTTTTTTTAAAAAGAACTTGAACGTGAATTAGTTCATTTTATGTGTCATGAACGGCAGACATCACTATGAACGTTGGAATCTGTTTTCTCTTTTGAAACGCAACGAGAGAAAGTTCCTCCCTCCTGTATTCTCGCACTTTTTCCGCCGAAATCTAAAAATTCCTACGGTTTCCACCGTCTGTGAACGCACCCCGACTCTGTGTTGAGGTGCGGCGCTGTGAGCTGGTGCTTTTCATATGTGCCCGAGTCGTGATGAAAACACTATATATATATATATATATATATCTCGTAGTGTGAAAAAAATATTTATTTAAGTATCTCACGAAAAAAGTGAAATGAACTGAACTTTGAACTAGTTCAGAATTAAAAATGTGAACTTTGAACGTGAACTGTTCACTTTGAGCATGTATGAACTGAACTTGAACTAGTTCAGAAAAGCTGTGAACTGGCACAACACTGGCAATAACACATTCATTATTGTGTCTATGTGCCCACAGCAGAAAACAGCTGAGTTAGTCTGGTGACAAAGACGCCGCTGCCTCTTCAGCTCTATCGGCTCAAAACGGGCACAAATTATTCATGACATACCTTGAGTTTTCCCTTGTTGAAGGCACAAACCGACACCTGGTAACCCGAGTGCCCCAGGTCGACGAACACGACGATCCGTGGCTTCTCTTCTGGCGCTGGTAGGTCCTGCTTGTAGATGCCATACGCCAGGGTCACTGTGAGTGCAAAGACATGGTTCTTTCATCTGGTAGCACGTTTACAGGGCTGGGCTGTTACTAACAATCTTTTCTTTGATTCTTCGCTTAGTTATTTAGATCACAGATATGCGATTTTGTCAAGATCTGACCCTGAAGTGAAGCTACTGGAGGACATTTTGATAGACAGTTTTGTATCCTTAAAATTGAGACATTTGTGTATTCTATTTATTTGTTTATTTTTTGTAAACTGCTGTGCTTGAGTCTTAAAAGCACACACACATGTTGAAGTGTATATAGAGCCAGTAACAAAACCAATCATAACGAATAGTTGCCGATTATCGAAAAAAAAAAAACTGTATTCGTTGCAATTAATCGTTAATTGCAGGATTCTGCCAGGATTCTGCCATTTCCATGACCTCTTAATAATGCTACATGCGATATGCTAAATTATCCATATTCATATGTACAAACTGAGCATGGAATATTTTGTTAAAGTTTCTGTGTCATTTTCAGCATGAATGTGGTATTTCACAGGTTGTCGTTAAATTCTTTTCAATACGATATGACTTGCACACTGCATAGGTAGAACGTCATACTGAATATGTGATGACAGACTTTGTTAACAGCTGCCAAATATTCTTCCAATTATTGTAGTCCACTTGTTATATACATTATATTATGTATTTTCTTATTAATTAACTTCATACCTGCAGTGGTCTCGTTCATCAGCCGTAGACAGTTGAGGCCTGCAATTTGAGCGGCGTCCATGACAGACCTCCTTTCAGCATCTGTGTAATAACTGGGAACCTGAAATAGCAAAATACATGAATATAGGTTCTTATTTTCAGCAGCTTGAGAGAATTATGTGCAGACTTTAACTACTTTAACTGGTGCATTCACACTCACACCAAGAGAAAAACAGACTGAACAAACTATTATTAGTGCTGCCAGTGGATCCCTTAAACATAACATATGCTAAACATATCCACCAACAGCAGTAACATTTTGTCAATCTCTAAGGCCAATTCAAAGTGGGGTCAGTTTTGGCCCAGTGAAGTCACAGCCTATTTGAGTGTGTACAGTAATCTTACTTAACAGACGCTGCCAAATGGGGATTCAATCACTGTATATAGAGCTCCGCGAGAGACAAAGTCACAACATCCCACTCTTCACCCAATGCCAACGTGTGTGTGAGGGTTCTTTTCACAAAACACATGGCTGGCTTGGAAAGGGCGTTGTAAGAGGGCTTTTAAAAAAACTCAGTAGAAAAAACAGTGGGAAATGTACAAAAAACTTATTTACAGAGCACAGTGAAAAGTCTACAGGCGAAAAGGATATTTACAAATAAAAATATACACGACTTCTGCAAAAAGTCTCTTTTCCCTAAGCTTTTACACTTTTTTTACCTTCACTGTAACAGAGTCACAGAGCACACCTTATGTACTCTGCTTGCCCCTCCCACATTACATTTGCAATATCAATCATTCTACCTTATCTTATACACCGTATCTACAATACGTGGGTATTTTTCATTGGTTCATGATTGCATATTACACATTGACACATTTACTGAAAAAATACATTAAGAGCTACACATTACGGAGAATCCAAATTTTTATGCAAATGAGCTGTGGTCTACATGACGCACAGACAGGTGCATTTAATCCGCTGGCACAGTATGTCCGGGATTGCCAAAACGCACCACGGAGACGCCACGACCACGCCAGCACAGGCGAGTGAATGACACATGTAACTAGATGTAACTGCCCCAAGTGTGCACCCTGAAGACTCCTTACTGCACGCTACATGTCACAAACACAGTCCCTATACTAGCAGTAGTCAATGAATGGGTTTGGGCCTCACATGCGCTCCGTGGGACAGCGGGCTCAGGGACGGGCTCACCCCGTCACAGTGTGAACAGGAAATTATGTTTTCAGACAGCCCTTCTTAGAATGTCTGGAAGAAGCATGAAGGTGGCTTCATGCTGTATTCACCTTATTCTGTAAAGTTGCAGCCATATTGATTTGTGTTGGATTCAAATACAATGTGCTTCCAAACTTGAAAGCAAGTAAATACACAGGAGTCTTGAGAGCACTGCAACCTCTTATAATCTTGTAACATAAATTATTATATTTCATTTAGATATACTATGGCAAAAGTACTAATATATATTTTTTAAATTAACAAAATCATGCATCATTTTGATTTAATTTCACAGTTTCTGTATGAAATCAAAAGCGTGGCAAAAATGTTGCATCGTCTTTGCATTGTTCACAATTGTCAGGTTTCAAAAGAGCTGCGCAACAACAACAAAAACATGCACTACAATTGATTTAAACTGCAAATTCAAACAAATACTTATTTGTATTTAATAATTTCATAGAGCTACTAAGTTAAATATAAGACTGTTTATGGAACAAGACAATTATAGCACAAGAGATGAGAGACAAATGTTTCATATTGGTATGAGCATGTCCTGTATCAAATTCTGCTTGCTACAGACTGCTTTTCAAACATAATCATAACATTTCTATCAATGGCTTTTAAGCATAAATTTGAATTTTAGATTTAATACACGTTTTGCTTTTCAAAGGGCCCAAGCTGTGTTTGGTGATGTATTTCTTAAGTTGCCACAAAATTGTGTACTGAGTGGGAGGGAAAACAACGAAACAAAAACACATACAAATATGTTATAAACCAAATATTAAAACAAGTGTAGGTTGAATATTGTAAATAAACTTAAACATTGAGTAAATTAATGAAAATTGTATCATCTAAGGACTATCATGATATTGCATTTTGATTTCAGAATGCAGCAGCATGTGGTTTGCCTGAATAATCCTGGTAATGCCAATAATTATTGAAACAATTAGGATTAGTTTTTTTAAGCAGCTAGTCACAAGATGTCAATATATTGCTGCACCCCATTGCAATTTTAAGAACGTTCTTGTATGATTATCTATAATATCTTAAAAAACTAATAGCCTTTCCATCACACTGTGTCAAAGCATCATTTCTTTAACTTGGGCCAAGATTAAGCAACACAAATTATAAAATGAACCGCCCATTACATTGTGCATGAGTGGAAAATAAAAACCCCTATTCAAGCCTTCAAATGGACACGCTTCATGGATTTTGGGGCGGCTGAGGAGAGCTGCTTACCGAGATCACACAATCCACCACTGGTTTCTTGAGGGCACTTTCAGCGGTCTCCTTCAGTTTGGTCAGCAGCATCCCTGTAACCTGCTCAACACTGAAGATCCGCTCCTCCTCCATGTACATCACCTGAAATCACAAGGAAAAAAAGCCATTGGTCATACTTTGAAATCTGAAAAAATGCTATAACAAATTATTTCAACACTGGCCGCTGATGAGTTATGCAAGTTAAGTGCAAAAGACATGGTTATTTCATTTATTCGGTAGGGTAGGATCTGACTGTTAAAAAAATATGTATCATCCTTTCCTCAACAAAACTGTACTTTTGGAAAAGCCACAATATCTTTATTAATCACATCTGCCGATACCGTGACAACTTACAATAAACTAATATGGTCAAACTGTGAGATTCAATACTAATATTTTTGTGAAATTACCGGTCTAACCTATAAACTTATTACAAAAAGCAGTTCTTATGCTTCTTGTAGGATTATGTGAACATGTCAAACCCGAGGCATACGTAAAAAAAACAACGTGATTTTAAGGTTGTCACTGCTTTCAACAACATATCTTTTAAATTGTTTTCCTTTGTGCGCCCTCCAAATGTGCCCTGTTTAAATTTGGTTTAAAATTAAACACCCATCAAGAGCCTATTATGTTCTTGCCGTCACCGCAGCCTCCAGGTGATAAAACACAGTGTGAATCATAACAGCAGGATCTGGCATCAAGCAGCTATTGTGAGCAAAAATATTGAAGCCAAGAGCAACAGACAACACCAGCGGTCTCTGATTTATCCTCATGATGCTTTCTAATTACTTCCATTGGGACACACAAATTTCAAAATAGGACTCATGTAAACCCAGTAATTGACATTTAATAATGGACAATGACAAAACTATACTTGTATGAATTGATTCTTAAATTATTGCAAATCCAGATGACAAGTTCATCTTACCTTTATCCCGGTGGCTCCATTGGGCATCTGTGCCAAGTCATACACAAGGTTAGACTTAGCAGCTTGGACGTACGGGTCTGAAAACGCCCGGCCATGAAGACGTTTGAATCCCTGGACGGTGTTTTTATGATTTGTCACCACCTGAGTTGAAGAATATATATATGAAGTCAATTCATTACTTTTTCACTTGAATGTGTTGCATCAATCCACTAAAATACCTGGCTCTTTGCAGCAGCTCCGATGGTTCGATTTCTCGGCCCAAAAGATACAAATGATCTGGAAATGTGAAACAGGTGTTAATAATAAATATGTATTAACTTTTTTTTCCCTTTTTCAAATAAGGCGTTTCTTTTATATGGACACTCCTCTGTGCTTCACATTGCAATATTCCTTCACTCAGGTGACAGATACACAGAGGTGATACACTACTATTGTAGCCAAAGTAGCGAGACTATCATTGGCATTGGCCCTTCACGCACACACCAGACTTATTCTAGGCAATGTAGGTGAAGTTTCACAATGACAATTTGGCACTGATAGGTCTCCCATCACAGTACTAACAAAAACCTGCCCTGCTTAGTTTTAGAGGTTTGCCGGGATCTGACTTTCACATGCAGGTGGTGCCACACTATAGGCCAAAATACTATTGAGAAAACATGTCTAATTTCAAAATTTGAAGAAGCAAGGTAAATGTGATCTGCCAACATTGGAGACCAGAAAACAACTTGCCCTTGTAGCTGTCATCTAAAACAGAGGACCTCTCCAACTAGCACAGGCCTGATATAAAGTGTGCAACAATGAAAAAGGCATTAGCATCTTTCATCACATTGACGTAGAGAGACAACCAAGCAACCAAGGACATTTTATACATCATGCTGTCAGGATGCAGCAAAGTGAGATGTTGCAGCAGGTAGTTTTACGCGCAGTATAGTAAATATTATTGGGATACTCACTGTGACTAACATTGTTCAGTTACTCTTGTTTTTGGTGATATTCCGAATAACCTTACATTACAGAAATCAAAGGAATAAATTGTTTTATTCTTCAGGAGCTGCATGCACTAATCACCTTATATTTTTTACGTATTTGGATTATATGTAGTTCAATAATGCAATTTAAGTTTTAAAGAGAACAAAAAAGTATACAAAAATATGGAAAATATGTGTTACACTATTGTGATGTATCTTTGTGCAAAAAAAAAAAATTTAAAAAAAAAAAAAAATCGAATCCTAATTATACAATATGAAATTAATGGAACACAATAACATACATAACATCCAAATGTTCAGTGTCTAAAACTCTTCACAACATAGAACTATAATCCAAAATCATAATTTCCAACAACCAGCAAACTATACACTGAAGTGTTTATTGTTTCAATAATTTATTTGTTTTAAATATTTATTTGACTCCTCACAATAAACGAGTCAAAAATACATCACAATAGAATTTTGTCATTTCATTCAAACATAGTTGATTATTGTATCTCACTTGGGCAAAATAAAGCCTGTATTTTATGTTTTTTACACTAGTTTCACTAATGAGGCGCAAGGACCACGCGAGAGAAAATTGCTAGAATCTTCCAAAGAGCGCTTGGTTGCTGTCGTCACTGCACATAACGCGTAGACGCACATTTTCTATTCTGGGACAAACCGGTTGGGCGGGGCGTGTGTGGCTACTGCTCCACGCGCTGTACTATGAGCAATAACACCGCCCGCCCGTGCAAACATGTCAATTAAAGATAACGTTAACGCATATTAACCGTACAGTAACTTGCAATAAACCTGGGAGAGATTCAAAAAAACAACTTGAATACGTATAACAGGTGATTAAAATAGTTTATGTTTGATTAGACGAGACAATACTGCATATAAACGTAAGAGGCTTAAAAACAAACAGTATGTAATAAAAGTACATAACGGTTGCTAGGTTTTAAAGCTATTCACGTGTACTGTCTCAGCGGGGCTTAGAACAAGGAGTGTCCTAATGCCTGAATGAATGGATCTTGGCAAAATAGAAGTGAATAAAAGCTGTACTTACGGTGTACATCTGTCGCTATACTCGTTTGCGATTGTCTCGATCCCACCCGCTCGGGCTACGGCCACATAGCAGCTCTGAAATCCTAAGTCAAATCCCACCACGGACATGATTGAGTCTTTATTCTAGTAACAGGACAGCCTTTCTATTCAAGTAAGAAGTGTGAAGACGATGTGAGGAGAAAGCAAAAGTTGAACGGGAGAGTCTAAATTAGTCGCGGTGTCAAAAATCGGCTGGTTTGCTTCATAATCCTCGAGAGCCGGTGTCAGTGCCGTTTCTACTGAGCTGCAGTTACAAGCGCCTCTGATACCGACTTCACACCCACAAATATCGCGAGAGTTTGTGTTCTAGACTGCTCTAGACGGTTCCATTGAAAAAAAATCAGGTTGGTGGAGAAAATTCCAAATATTTCTAGATGTATTAAATTCAATATATTTTGTAGAGTGCTGAATCACTACCGTAGTTGACTTGTAGAACTTTTTTGTTATCCTCCTTCACGCTGTATTTTAAAAACAGGGTTCTTCAGTTTTTTGCTTCATAAATGAGGGAGAGGGGTATACATCACATAGTTAATTTAAAATGTAAACACACAATGCCCATATTTTTTCAGTTTTTTCATTCATCTTGTGTTTTGCACAATGCAAGAAACAATATATTAGAATAACTCACCAATGTGTGACACGTATATGGCAATTCACATTCCCTAAAGTTTGAATGCTATATTTCATCAATTGGTTTGTCAAATACAAAAGAATTATGGATTTTTTACAAGAATAGTGTATTGGCTGAAATGTGATCATTGCAACTTAATTGAAGGTGTCAGCACCAAGATCAATAAGCGTTCATTTTGGCCTTCTTTGAATGCATGGAGAAATGTACATGTCACATTTGGCATAGATAGAGTCTCTCAGATTGTGGAAAGACAGAAGTGTGTAAACAAACATGTTAAGGTTATGGACAATAAAAACTGGCAATAGCAGTGCTGTTTTTTTCCTAGTGCAGGTTATTAGTGACTTTAACTGACTTATAGTACAGTCTGACAGCGGTGGCTTGAAGACATTTGTGTTTATTTGTCGTCAGACCAATTCATCAAGCCCATTCAAATATGTCTTGTGTATATGTGAAAGAAAAAAATGAATTGTTATTTCAATAGATGCATGATTTGAATATAGATCCATATATATCTATTTCTTACTTCCCTCCCGATAGATGGTGCTGTTCCTTTCATTCTTCATAAAGAAGAAAAAGTGGACTTCAAGATGGCGACTCCCATGCACCGGATAATAGCCAGGCGACAAGCGTAAGGAAATGTTATGAATACTCAAAGAAAGACGCTTCTAAATCAATGTAATTTAGTCATGCTTTCAGCTGTTGAATTATAGCTTTGCGATGGGCTAATTAAACGGGTAAAAATCTCTATGAATCCATGCGTTTTGTTCACCACCTGCTATACAAATGTTTATGTATAACAGTCGTAGAATAATCATGATGATGTCCTTCTTTTCCATTCTTTAAGTCCTCATGTATGTCTCAACATGCTCTTTCAAAGAGTATTTACTGATATATAATCATTGAGTGTCTCGATAAGTTGTTCGGACTTGGCCAATGAAATGATTGTCACTGTACTTATAGATGGGAGGATTTTCCCAAATTTTAGGAAAGAACCGCCCTCTCCACTTTTTGAACTATACTCTTTGATCTTGTATAACGAACACGTATCATCAGAATGATTGACATAAAGAGGACCAATAGTCTTGATGATCCACCCGGAAGTAGAAAATCCTCCTATATAACTTTGAATGATGATTTTCTTCACAGCTCCGGTACCTGTACTTATTATGAATAACTCTTTTTGTTTGACCTATCTGAAAGAGTCTTGTAAACGTAAAATTTAGTGAACGAAGCAAACCACAAAATTCTGTCTTTGTCTTAGAAGATGTTTTAGAACACATTTTATTTTGTGCAGATGTGTAGCCCTATGAGTCACTATTTGAGGCTTTGGGCAGAGTGAAGATGGGCCTTTCAGTTTTTTTGTCTGAATTTTAATGAGGCCACATACCTAAAAAATATTTGAAGACTAGTGATAGAACTAGATTTGGAACTAGTTTGATTTATTTTATTAAATAGTTTCATTTTTGCAGTTTTAACATTAGGACCCCCAATACACTTGCTTATAAGAATGAATAATCCTTGTTTCTGTCTGTGTTCCTACAGAGAGGCAAACAAGCAGAATGTGCGCTGTCAGAAGTGTCTGGAGCTGGGCCACTGGACGTACGAATGCACAGGAAAGAGGAAGTATGTGCACAGACCGTCCAGAACTGTGGAGATGAAGAAGAAACTGAAGGCGATTGAAAACAAGCCTCTTGCCATCATGGGGTAAATACATTTCTGAACCAGTGCTTGGGACGAAGAAAGTGTATGATTGAAAGCAAGTATATAGTAAGATATAGTAAGATTCCCCACAGTGGGGAAATTTCTATCAAATCATGCTCTTTTTGAATACATCTTTGACTGATAACAGTAGTTCAGCCGAGATATTTGAATACCAAAATTAGTTTTACGACCCGTAAAAGTTGTTATTGTTTTGGCGGCCTGCCCTCCGCCGTTTCGCGAATCAGGAAGTCCAATGGAAGTCCGTGATCGGGTTGCCAGAACTCCGTGCGGCTAGTTAATCTCACTGGTAAAAACATTTAAATTGAAAAATTGAGACAGCGGATAAAACTTTTCGTGTGATGCAAAACTTGCTGCTTTGAGCCGATTCTGCATCCAGCATTTGCCATCGTGTGTGACGATGGTAGAGTGGTTAGGCCGTTGCGCTTGTACCCCGGCGATTCGAGTCCGAGGAGGGTCCATTTGAAATCAATTGCATAATATCACATTTTTTGACAGATTGCTCAAAAAACTAAGATCATGATGTTTTTTGCAGATGCCTTGCGAAAGGCCCCCTTGAACCTTTCAACATTTCGCCACATTTCCAGCAATAAAAACTCATTAATCAAAACATTCATTCAACATTAGCATGGCTATCATGGCAATGTGAGAGACAGACAAAAAACTGATAAAATAATTCCCTGTGTTTGCTGTTGGATTTGGTGTGCATCTGGCAACCTGAGTCAGGGAGAGTGGGAGAGGACTACAAAATATTGATTGTGACTGCAGTACCACTTTTGGCCAGATTTGTACATATTGCTCCTTTAATGGACTCCCCATGTCTGACAGTTTTGTATTGTGAGGATCAGGGCCACATCCATGAGGTTCCCTATAGAAGAACAGCCTTTGGACAGAATGCTCTGTCTCTGAAATCTGGAAAAGTCTTCCACTGCAGCTTTAAAACTCGACTCAATTTATGACTGAAATCGAACCGTTATAACAAACTTTTTCTTAACATTTCCCTTTTTTGTACTGATATTTTCATCTGTCATCTCTGAATCATACTGTATGCATTTAGTATATGTTAAGTGCTTTTTTAATCCATAAAACTGTCCTTTACGTGTTTCCTCACAGGTCTGGGACAGAAGAATCAACTGAGAAAAAAAATAAAAAGAAGTAAGGGTGTCTGGTTTTAATCTTTTTGCTTCTCAAATAAATGTTATTAATTTTTCCCATGAATAATATATTGTGTGATTAACATTGATCCATGCTCTATTAAATCTTCTTAACAAAAACGCACATGTATTTATGAAGTGCCACTGGACTGTCATTGCAAACTGTGGCCATGTGAGGGCGTAATTCTTTCACTTTTAGATCAATGCTGTTCTTTGTCTTGGCTCTATTGTCAGTATTCTATAGTTCCAAGTATAGCTATTATTTTATAAGGTGGTAATAAAAAAGTTGATACTTGAGTGACAGTGTTGCAGTGGTTAGCCCCTACCACTAATACCTATACAATAGAACCACAGATTGAAATGGTATTTACCATCTGAATAGAGAAGGGCCAGAAAAAAGAAGAAATCAACAAAACCTCAAACTAAACATCTCAAGAAAGTGCATCAGGTGTCCAAAATAGTGTATGCAAAATGTGGGTGAAGTGTCTTGCCTAAGGACACAGAGACAGTTTGGCACTTTACAGCCGCAGCCGCCCAACTGTAGCACCTGCTGTTCCCTGAAGTCTCCCATCACAGTACTAATCAGGCCCTGCAGAGGTCTGTTGGGATCAGGCTTTCTCATGCAGGTGATGACACAATAAGATGTAATTTTTCCACATAAATACCACAATGTTTTTCTACCAGTTCTGAAACGGGTCAAAGTAAAATCAGAACTGCTCAAAGAATCTCTCATTATGTCCTGTTAGTGCAATTTTATCATATTTTAATTTCAATACTTTCTCAAATGAGTATCTAGTTTTGCTACTTGGTTTTATATCTTATTTTTTGACACTTTTAAAATAGAAAATAAAGGATGACAGTCACAATTAATGATCTCAGGCCACTTTATTAACTAGTGAACCAGATAATGTGTTGACTAAACCACGGTTAATTCTTTCTCATGATGCTCTTCAGGTCTAAAGACGCGAGTGGCAGCAGCAGTGACTCCTCCAGCTCGTCTAGTGATGACTCCTCCGACAGCAGCGACTCGTCCAGCTCTTCATCCGACAGCAGCAGCGACAGTGACGACTCTTCATCATCGTCATCCTCCTCCTCTGACAGCTCCGACTCCGACAGCAGCAGCGACTCAGACCAGGGCCCGCCAAAGAAGAAGAAAAAGAAGAAATAGAATGTAATAGTTCACCTAGTCGTGTTTTTGTTGGAGTTTAGGGATATATAATAACTATGTGGCAATAGTCAGCATCCCTATTAACAGATTTAAAGCTGGGGTACCTTACTTGTTTGTTGAATAATGACTTCATGCTTTGAAAGAGTCTTAGAAAAATTAACAAATTAGACCGCATGCTGTCTTCATCTTATTAGAAAACATGTTATCGTTTGCATACTTTGCTTAAGAGCCCCGTATAGGATGCTCCTATCTTTTTAACTTTTTTTGTCTGGAAAGAAGTCAAAAATGTGAAGGAAAGAAACCGTTGAAGAGCCAGAAGATTAATATTAATAGTTTTTTTTGTGGTTTGATGGTAAGGTACCCCAACTTTGAGAAGAAACAGTAAAAAAATAAGTATTTTAAATATTGCTTATTTTCATATGTGGTTGGTACTTTGATCCTACATGTCTATACACATTTCTGTTAAATTGTCATAACATTAGATCATAGATACATCCCACATAATATTATGTAACATCAAACAGTCTTACAAAATTCCTGGTCTTCATCTAAAACCCTGCTCAAAAGTCATGTGTGTTAAAAGGCCCTAACATAATAACATTATATTTGCTCTGGTATGGGACTAGGCCCCTCTATCGTTTTTACTTAATTTGTGATGCTTTTCTAAAATCATTGCCAACATCTCATGTGCAAGTGGAGTTTAATTTTTTAATGCCAGGATTAGTCCTTGAAGCCTCATATTAATTCAATTTAAACATGTGAAGATGCGAGCTTTTGTACTAAAGTATATTTTAGCATAGTGTGAAAATTCAGTGTTCTAATGTGAGCTTGTTCAAACTGAATTGTTAACATTTTGAAGCCCCTGGTTGGTGAACTGTAAAAATAAAGCTTTGTTTTGTATTATTGTTTCAAAGGATTAATTTTTATCCAAATGAAACATACATTAGTATAAACTTTAAGTCACGGGCGGCACGGTGGCTGAGTGGATAGCACTCTCGCCTCTCAGCAAGAAGGTCCTGGGTTCGAATCCCGGTCGGACCAGGGCCTTTCTGAGTGGAGTTTGCATGTTCTCCCCGTGTCTGCGTAGGTTTCCTCCGGGTACTCCGGTTTCCCCTACCACTAAAAATATGTCCAATAGTTCTGGCATGTGCCTCCTGTACTGGCCCCGCTCCCATCTCTGTGTGGAGTGAGAGACAAATGCCCAAAAATAAAAATAAATTGTAAACCGCTTTGAGACTCTGATCTGCAGTGAAAAGGCGGTATATAAATAAAGATTACTACTACTACTACTACTACACTAGATAGATTAAATTGTCAAAGTCAATATAATCTCCAAGAGTATCTTAAACACCATAGTTTTAACTTTGTATCTTGTCACGAGTGAAGGAAGGAGGAAAGCGTGAGATTTATAGATTAATTGTTGTGGTGTTTGCAGTGCTTTATCGGTCAAGGGGAAGAAGGAGCTGAGTAGAGATATTCACCAGTAAATCTGTGAATCCGACTGATTGATAAAAGAATAGCAGAGAGAAAAGTTGTAATGTTGGTGTGTCAACATCCTGAGTATTCAGCGCGTTAATCCCCAAAGCGCCACAAGTCTTTTTAGACTCCAAAGTGTGTTCAAAGTGTGAGGTGTGGTCTTCCAAGAGGTTGTGGCCTAGAGAAAACATTTCAACATACTGAAAAGGTTTTGGATGCAGTCAAATTGGGTCTGAAGCTGCTAGTCAAAGTTCTACAATTGAGCTACAAAGGAGTTGAAGGTTGTTGGTTATATGTTCTCATCAATTCATCTTCATTTAATGATAATTTAGCAAGTAGTTTTGTATATGTTAAGGCTTATATGGTTTACATGTTTCAAGAGATTATGATTTTAATCTTTTCAAATCTTTGTTTTAATTATTCACATCAAAAAGAGGCACTTGGTTGGGATCAGAAACTATTGTTGATCCAGATGACTACTTTTGAAACTTGCTCTGCAGCATACTGTGGCTCATTACAAGCAAAAGTATTTTGATGAACACAAGCGAAAGGCAGTGGACCCTTATACACTAGAAGTCATGTACAATTGTATTATCTTACAATTTACTGGGTTGAAAATGTAATGTCATATTACAATATTACAGTTTGATTTACTCTGAGTTTCTTTTTTGCCCAAATTTGTTCAATAGGTTTGTTTGTTTAAATTACTTCTGCTGTCTCAGGACACTGAAAGAGTGTTCTTAAAATAGTTACATTACCGAGTTACTTCAAAAATGAACTTTTAACTAGTTAGTTTCGTAACCACTTATTCCCAACACTGCAGGTGATACATTCTCCTACTGTGCGTCCAGTAGCGACTCCTCGTGCGTCACATAACTGCTGCCTTCAAAGAATATATGGAAATTTGATATGTACACATTACACAATTTTACTTTTTTTGTACAGTTATATAATCTTGAACAATTTAAAGAGCATACATATCTAAGTATACCATAATCTAGGATTAACGTATATGAGTTATATTAACGTATAAACTACCAAGAACTAAAACCCTCTGTGCACGTTTGTTTTCCTCTTTGTTCTGTTCAAATAATTTCTGCCTCTCAGAAGTCACATGAGGGTAAAAATGCGTGTCTTTAGCATTTAAACAATTGTATTCTCAACATTGAACTCACTATTTCTCTTTTTTTGTTATAAAATGTAGTAGTTTTTGGTGTTTTATCAATATTTTCTGTTAATTCCTACATGGGTAGTGGTGTTTGAAGGCGCCTCGGCAGCTCCATGCACCAGCGTTGTGTCTGTGGAGAAGATACCTGCGGCTACTGCCTTTAGCTAGCAGCTTCACCCATCACTCATCCTGCCCAGGAATGACGAGATGAACGGCATCCAAAATGACTTTAGTTTGTTTATCACTTGACACGGAGTTTTATTTTAGGAAAAACATGGAGACCGTCATTTGGCATTAGTGTTTTTAGCGGCTCTTGCGTTTTGCCGAGTCCATTTTGCGTCTAAGTGGAAGTGGTTCAGACAAAGAGAAAAGAGCTTTCCCATAGCTAGAATGGTTCGGGCCTAAAAAAGAAGTCAAGAGGTAAGGATGCTGTATTCATATACTATTTTATTGCTTCGTTCTCTGCCTTTTCACCTGCTTGACACGTTGCGTTAGCTTGGTTTTAATTAACAGATCTGCATTTGTTTTTGACGCTAACTAGCCGCTAGCCTGGCTGGAGCTAACGCTGCTAAAGCAAAGGTGAAGTCTGTGCAGTCAGTGCTAGGTATCACGTTAGCAATGGGCTTACTGGACTGGGTGAGTGAGACCATTTCTTATCTGATAAACAAGAACAAATATGAATGCACACAGATTTGCAGCATTACATGAGAATACTTGGCGTAACTTAAAAAACGGGTTATGTTATTTGTGATTCGTAATTTGGTGATCTTGTGTTTGTTTCTGTAATGTTGCTCTGCCGAGATCTGACGTCTACACTTGTTTTTCTGTTTTGTTTTTCTTTTGAACACGTTTGACAGGGCACTAATGCATTTTGAAAGTGACGATTTATTTTAGATGACATGCTTAACGTGATTTGTTTCCTACACGTTTTACTAGAACCAAATAATTACAACTTGTAGGCTTGATTTATCAATTTGCATGAGAGAAGCCATTTGAATTGACTTATTATGGATTACTTTTACAGTACCCCACGCTGAATGACCCATTGAGGGTTAAGTAACACCCATTGCTGTTTTTCACTGTGACTGGCAAAACTTTTCCTCTTGTTCAGCATAAACCACACAATCCTATCCTGCGTTTATTGTCTCAAATTACAGTCAGTGCCTGTTAGAGCCTCGTCAGCTCTAAACCCTGCTAATTTGCTTAAAGAAAAGCTATCATTTAGTCTGAAAGCAACATGATAGCTGGTGCCTACACCTTGTCTAGTCTAGTCTTTTTAGAGTTTGCTAAAGGACAGCTGATGTGCTTTAGGAAGCCATTTTAAACGCCACTGTGGGGGAAGGGCCACTAAAGCCATAATAAGTCCAACACGAAGAAATTAAACTGTTGATATGTTGCAGTAGTATTTTAGGGACCCAATAAGAAAAGGAGCTACCCAGTTTGTTTGCCTAGTTTGACATGGGGCACAACAAGGGGGTGCTATGGTCATGAACTTTATGGCAGGTAGTTGTAAAGAGTCCAGCTGCGAGTCACTACTGGTGAAATGGGTTTAGAAATGTCTTCCAGATTGTCCTCTTTAAATTTGGCACTCTATCTAGATAAACTGAACTCTATACACAAATGCTGAATGAATGCAGAACAATCTTGATGTGCAGACAACCAAATAGTTTAGTCTGTACTGTCTGATATGCTTTTAAAACAAACTACTGCTAGACATGGGTATTGCACCTTAAACAGTCTTTGTTGATGTTTCTGAGTGACATGAAATGACTGTCAAACGACACACAAATTACATAATGCACATGTATTTCAAAATTGACTTCTTTGAGGATAGTATATTTATCATGGTAACACAATGCATTTATTTGAATATTGAGAATATCTTTTATTTTAACATGAATAATTATGTAAATACTAGTTTACTAGCCTCTACATGTCTGCTTGTCTACTCATTGTTATTATGCACTATTGTGGGCATACAACAAACCACTATGGGTGTTATTTGAATTTAACACTGATCTCTGCTCAACTTTAATTCTTGATGTGTAATGATGACTAATGTAATGTTTTTATTTGGGTGATAATGACGTTTGCCAAGAGAATAATGCAAAATAAATAATATATCACTGTCAGTGTCAATATGATTATAAAAGTTAACTGGATCAATGTAACAATTCTGCAACTGGAGATATTTTAACTAATCAATACATTTCTTATATATATATATGCAACCAACAGGTGCAATAAGTAATTTCAACCTGCAATATATCTCCAGTGAATATTTAACTTACTTTAGTTGATCTATTATTGTACCAGTGAAAAAGTAAGACGATGCACAGATGTTTTTTGCACTTTG